ATGCTTGTGGCCAGACATCCTTCCTATACTATGGCTTTCGAGGCCAATTCCAGGAACACTGTGGATGGACACAACATCTTCGCCATCTAACCAGAAGCCACGATCGGGCTGACCACTGGGATAGCCCCTGACTCGACTGACGGGGCTGACCACTGAGGTGCTGCACAACGCCCGGGCACGGCTGGTACAGCGTCACATGCCGGAGTCTCGTGGGACGATGTGGTGGGCCAGTAGGGTGGTCCGGGCGTGGTGCGGGTGTTCCGTCGATGTTTGACTGGAAGGTCTGGCTAGCGAGCAGCGAGCGGAGACCAGAAGGTGCAAATCAAGAGAGTGAGTTGCGGTACCAGGAACAAAACTAGGTTTTGTTCATCGACTGGTGTTGTTGGTGGTAGCCCAGATGTATACTGAAAACGATAATGCATGTAAAACCTCTTCGTATGGGGGGATGTATCAAACATCTACATTGTACAATATGTCTGAACACTGGCCGTTGCCACTAACAGAACAGTGACCGATGTTTCCACCACCTTAAGCACAGGTCGGTTGCGCATTACCTTGCCGGCCTTTTTGGTTGTTGTTTGAGATGCTAAGAGGTGTCACAGTTATTTGGACATGCAGTTTGCTAGACAACCAAGGCTGGGGACAGTACCTCGGACGAGGGCATTGCAGGCTTGGCAACGCCCCGCGCTGCCCAGGCGGGGAAACAGTTGTGCCACATAGTGGAACAATGTGATTGGTATAGTCCAAACATAGACCAGGCAGACCTGATCAATTCCTGGCCAAATCATTTTTGTCAATCCATCCCAAATGATGCACCTAACCCTGGCACATACAAAGGTGCAAGAGGTCTGGTTTGTTCAGAGCTCCTTCAACTCTTTTGCTCCAGAAAACCGCAAGAAAAAAAGCGAAGATCTTTGAGATATCTGGCACTTGTGCAATCAAACAACCCTAAAGGGGCCGATCTAGAACCCCGCAACGGTAGATCCATCGAAAGCCCATGGTAGCGTCCAATTTCGTCATACTTGGAGCAACGCCAACTCAACTCCAGCCCCTCAGCGCCGATAGTTCACTTTTAATTCTTTTTACTGTGTTGGCAAAAAGATGCATCTTTCTCAGACGCATCAGGCACTGAGTGCGACTCCCCTTGTCAGGCACTGGCTGGTGTGTACGAGCTCCAAGGGAACGAGGCAGGAACGGTTCTCTGTCGGTGAGCTACCCAGGAACTGCTCATAGCTATACTCGTGAGGGAAGGGCCGAAGCGACCGTGAGGGAAGGGCTTAGGGGTTTGTTTGGTAGATTTTCTTGGTGCTTCTAGATGTGAATATCTATGGCCTATGGGTCTTTGCTCTAAAGAGCATCCTACAAACATATGCTCTCAGACCAGGCACTCCTGCAGTTTCAATACACTAAAGACATTCCGTATCTACCAGGTTTTCCAGCAAAAAAACAGTTCCTGTAAGAACATCCTTGGACACAGTCATCTTGGTTGGGCCACATCGCTCCCATTTGGACCGTCTCGACTCTCCTCCTTCCTCGGCCGTCTTCCTCCAGGCCAAGCGCTTGGTCGAACGCGTCCGAGAGGAGGCAGCCTCCAAGTCCGAATGCCCAGGTGGCGGCCTCCTCCGAGGAAGGGTCGATGGGATAGATTTGGGTCAACCAGAAAAAAGGCGTGGTGGGGGGTTGGAAGTTCATCCTGATGATTTGGACCTGATGAGGAGTGTTTCTGTGTTTTGGGGTGGGAGGAGCTACTAGCCAGCTAGGGAGCTTGGGAGCTAGCAGCCACGATCCGGTCGAAACAGGGTGTGTTGGATGTCCTTTGATGGTCCAAAAACCTTCAAAAGGCCATACTGTTCGGCTCTCTTTTTGCCTCATGTTTTGCTCTCGTTGTTTTGGCTCATTTACGGATCGAGGAATCTTTTCCTTTCGCATCATTTACTGGTCCATCCACGGGCCCCTGGTGTCAGTCATGCAGGCTTCTCTTGAGGAAGACAAACGCAAACAAATGTAAAATTTTACCCATGAAAATCTGGTTGAATGTCAACGGTTCCCACTCACACTCCCAAAACAGCATGCACTCCAATGAAGCTCGAGGGCTGCCCTGGAAGTCTCCCTGAGATCGCCTGGAGTCTCCGACATCTCGAGGTCCGTCTTCAGTGCCTCAGAGCCCCGTCAGGCATGTCATTCACGCTTCCGACTGGTCTGTTGGAAGCAAGAAGCTACTAGGAATGGTCTTTGAAGCTGCTAGTAACAATAGAGATACTATATAGTATGTCTTTGAAGCTACTAGTAGCTAGAAGTTTCCCTGGGAATCGTTTCACTGGGAATCGTTTCACCTGTAGTAACAAGAACGCTACGAACGGGGCTCCTGGCATCGCTACCAGGAGCAAGGACGCTACTAGGGAAAAACCGTCTGAAGGTTATGGCCAAGGAATCAAGGCAATGGTTTGAAGGAAGATGCTAGCTCCTGGAGGTTAAACCTTCTCTCAACCTATTGAGAGATCTATTGTGGAGCGAACATTGCACACTTGTTAGATGCACAAGGGTAAGGGATTCTGCAGCCAGCAATGGAGAGAAGCTTATCCCTGTCGAGGGCAGCAGATGACGGCCCTCACGGTGTTTGGTGAATTCCCTTTGCAGTATATAGCCATGAAATACATAGAAACCACTTGCAGGGGGTTTCTCAGTCTCAAGGGGCATAGGTGTTACCAAAAAAGCTTTCCTTCGCTTTTGTTACTGTTAGTGACCTAGAACCCATTTGACCTCTGTTTTTGATAGGATAAGACCATGTTTTGGGTCCAAAACAGGGGTCCACCGGCTTTTAGGGATACCGTTCTCTCCACTTGGGGGGCGGTTCGTGATCCGCATTTCGGTCGCCGACTCCATCGGCTCCGCCGCCAGGGCCTCCGAAGCTCCAAGCCGGGCTCCATCGACGGAGGGAGTTGGCAGAGGACGGAGTTGGGAGTTGAGGGTGAACAGGTTGTTTTTGTCAGGTTCGTGTTGAAATAGTGAACTGTGTGCCACACTCAGAATTGGAACCACAAGATTCTTGCCATCAGTTTCTCTGCTGCTAACACTGAAATTCCGACTAGGACCCAGGGTTCAAAACCGGCCTTAGTCGCAGACATCATTGAAACCTCAGTTGTGTGGATGTGGCCGAAACTTGGCTCCAGCCGCAACGGCCGTCGACTGAAAAGGGCAGTAGAAGCCGTAGAACCTGTGGTGATCCTCTCACGACATGGTTCACCTTCCTGGACTTGGTGGCCAGGCTTGATGAGGCAAAACGTCCGAAGGCGCTTGAGGCGAAGAGTCGGAGAAATCATGGGGCCCACCCGCAGGTGTCGAAGGGGCCCACCTGTGCAGACGAGCTCTTATTCAAGAGATGATTTTTGCAGGAAAACAGGCTGACCTCAAGGCCGTTGACCATATCCCAAAAGGCCGTTTCTTTGCAAAGAAGGGGTTGTCTCGCAGTGCCATGTGGTTCTAGCAGCCTAGCACGACCGACCGCCCTCCACCCTGGTGGAAGAAAGCATCCGCATCTTGCTAGCTGCTAGCGGCACGGTCTTCCGATGATCATACCATCCCCACTTCAGAGGTTACTTGCTGTGGCTCTCTTCCAAAGACCAGTAACACAGGGTCCAAGGACCCTTCCCGGCGTGTGTCCTCCACAGTTCTGCAAAAGCTTAAGACGTCCTTTGCTTCGTTCGTGGACGAACCCGCTCTGTGCTCCAGCGAGCTGATGGACCAGCCCCCGGCCCCGCCGAACGTGCTCGGCCCCAGGGCCGCCCTCGAACTGGTAAGCCTGGCATGTGTGGCGCAGAAGATCTGCCAGCACCCAAGATCCGATGAGTCGACCGAGTTGTGAAAACGGTAAACATAAAGCCTTGAAGAGCCAAACCTCTCTCATCGGTTCTCATGGGTTCCGCATCGGTTCTCGAGTCGATCGAGTCCATTCACCCGATGCCGCGCACAGATGCCACCCCGGTTCGTCCGATCGAGGTTTGGCTCGCGCTGTGAGCGCGGTGTCCAGCTCTGAAAAGCCGCATGTATGCGCCGGCCGCTGCTCATAGAATCCCCAAAGAGACGTCCAGAGATTGTGGAGATTGGTGGTTGAACCGCTTAGATGCAGAAGAGATAGTCAGGAGGGTCTGTGTCTACCACCCTTTTCTTGGTGGATGAAAATGGTGTTTGCAATCCGATGTTTTGGTGAGTAAATGGACAATGGACATGATCCCCTGAGCAGGCTCAGAGCGGACAGCCCTGAACTAGCCCGACCTTCGGGGAAGCCGCAAGTGTGTACAAAGACAGGAAAAGTTAATCTGACTTTTCCATGACCAAAGTGACCAAGCCCCGCCCACGTTGTGAGTCCTGGGCTTCCAGAAGTTCATGGGCTATCGTGTCCCAGGATTTCCAGGGCGATCACCTCTGGCCCGTGGACTCGCAAATTCATTGGCGGAGCTCCCTGTTTTCGGACACCAAAAGAGCGTGCGAGCCTAGTGCACCCGCTGTTTTTCGGAATGTGGAGATGTATGGTGGAGATCTTGGAGAGAAGGAAGCTGTGTTGGACTTGTTGTCCTTGACTTCTTGACCTGCCAATTTCAAGGCATGGTGAGTTTCCTAGTGGCTTTGGGTGAGTTGCTAGCATTGGCGGCCGCTCCAAAAAACAGGTTTCCACGCTTTCTCGCTTGGCCGATCGCCCAGCTGCCCAAGTCTTTCCAGGGTAGATGTCACACATGACACCTAGGAATTGCACGTGAACTTGTGCATCACTCCACCGCTTTATATAATCCAAATTTTCAGGACCGTCGGCTTTGTTTCTTTCCAGGGTCGGGCTGAACTTCATACTATTATGGCCTTTGATACCCCTAAGGTGGACGAGGCTTTTGTGCTTAGCCCATGTTAGCCCCTTTTGATATCTGATATTTGGCATGTTCTCCGTCCTTTTCATTTGTTTTCACCCTTCAAACAAGCCACCCTCCGAATCACCACCCCTTTCGTCTTCGGTGCTCGGTCCCGAAGCGCGTCTTCCGTCCCCGGTTGGCCACGTCGCATGGCTGGCACGTTGCAATGCCGGTGCCCATCCCTGTGGACGTCTCACCGGTGTCGGACGGCAGCGCTGAGAAGGCGGCCGCGTTTCGCGCGCGAATTGCTCTCCACGCGTGTTCTGCAGGGGTTTCTGGGGGGTAGGGTTCTTAGCAACTAACGCCTCATGGTCATGGCCTTGATCACCTCTTCAAAAACCACGTAGAGAAAACGGTGTCAAGGTTCAAGCTTTCCATGTCTCTAGTTTCAGGGGTGAGTTGCTTGAAAGGGTCTATTTGTCCCTTGACCATGAATTCTATCCATAGTCTATACGACATGTTGTGATTGCCACCTCCAAATGCCCCAAAGCGCCTATGACGCAAAGCAGAGGAGTTTAATGGAGTTTAATGGCTTTTCACAGCCTCAGAGCCGAGAAGATTGCTGGCGATTTCAGCCGTCAAGTTTGGTAGTAGCATCCTCATCCCAACACTGGAAGAACGCATGCCACAACACGTATCAGAACAAATGTGGGAACGCTTGTCAGACATAATGTCAGAACACATGCCAGATTAGGTGACAGAACACATGTCAGAGCATGTCGGAACACATGTTGGACCATACGTCAGAACACACGTCGAAACAAGTGGCTGTTTCGATGGCAAAATTCAGAGCTAGCGTGAGAATACATGACAGAACAAATCTCAGAACACATATCGTAACAGAAGTCGGGCCATCTGTCAGAACACAATTCAGAGCACTTGCCAGATTTGACGTGGCAGCCGTGCAGCACATGTTAGAAGTACATGCCAGGCATGCAAGAAGGTGTGTCAGAACACGTGTCAGACTTGATGGCAGGTGGTATTTCAGAACAGTGGCCACGCTAGATCAAAATACATACTTGATGCCAGAACAAATGTCAGAGCATTGTGTCAGCGCCCGTGTCACGGCCTTTGTCGGAATAGTCTGTCAATATATGTGCCATGCCTTCTTTCAAATTGCCCTTCAGGGTGGGGATCGCTCGAAGTACAGTGAATCGTGAATTTTGATTCACAGCTCCCCAAATCTTTTCGGGATCATCTCCATCGCTATTAGGTTGGAGGCCATCTCTTCTAATGACAAGAAGCTACTAGGTTGAGGCCATCGCTATTAGGTTCGCCGAAGCCGAAGCGGCTGCTGGTCCCAGGACTGGGAGACTGCGGCGTCAGGTGGCATGTTGAAGGCGAGAGCGAGACGGGCAGGGTAGAAGACCCCAAAAACAAACTCAGGACGAAGCCCCGTGCTTGGTTCGACAGCTCCTTCCAGAGGTACCTTGACCTCAGCCCACGAGTACTAACAGCTAACACCTGTATCCCACATCATCCCACCATGAATGAAGATCTCCAGCAACAACTGACAATTTCTCACTGTTGTTCCCCCCACCGTACATCCTAACTCTGCTTTTTGAACGATCTCTTTTTCGGATGATTTTCTGCCAGCAACGAGACCCGGCGTTGAACCACCTGCAGTTGTCTCCTCCAGGTGAGCCAATGGCGGCAGACGATCCTCTCCTTCCGCTCGGTCGACCGGCGGAACGCCTTCCTGGCCGCGGCCCACGTGGTCCAGAGCCTCGTCCCTCAGCTGCGTCTATGGTGAAAGGCTGCTTTTGTTGGTGGGTTGAAGACAGCGTGGTGGTGTTGGGTGGGGCAAGCGGCGGTGTAGACCCTGAGAAATACTGTATGTCTCCAACTAGATAGAAATGGATTCCAAGTATTCCAAGATTGTTTGTAGAAGGGGTGTAAGGGGTGGCAGGTCAGCCAAGTCGTGGCACACCAAGCGATATAAGGGATGGTCTGATGTTCACGGAACCGGTGAGGTTTTCTTTGGGGAAACAACAGATTTTGATCATGATGATATGGTGGTGAACCTCTGGAATTTGATTGATCAAACATCGTCTTGGGATTTGTATTTTCACTCGTTCTAGTCGATATGGAGTGTCCAGATAGGAGCGACAGTTGAGTGTGCTCAGAACAAAGGCCTTCGGGCAGTTGTTTTCCACCCAAAACAAATTGGAGTTGGCAGAGTTGCCTGGCTCACAAGAACGTCAATAGTAATAGGTAATCCATAGGTCAATTATATAGTTGTTAGTCTTCCAGTAAGAAAAGTTTCCAAACTATTGACTGGCAGTATTAGTCATCTCCCCAAGCTCTCACTAACAGCAGCCCCTCTTGCTGTCAGACCTGACAGTCGTCCGGTCCAGGCGATGGGTGAGGAGGACAATCACTTGCTTTCTTGAAGATGAAGAGTTGAACACAGGTCGAAGCCGGTGCAAGCCAGCTGTTCCGTTAAGGTGTGTGTGGGTGTGTGTTTGTGCTTGAAGACATTCACTTTATGTTGTTTGGTTACTTTCTGCTTCGGAGACTCCTTGTAAGAGTAGAGCAGTTCCCTCCTAAAGTCGCTCGTTCAGGTTCTTGGACCGACTGAACGTCCAGAAAGCATATCAATCAACTGGACCTGATAGGTAGGTTGGCCACGTGCATCGTAGGTTGGCTTGGTAGAAGCCCGCCCCACCGATTGGCCATCCGTGCTCCACCTGCTCGGAGCTTGGTCCCCAAACCCGCCAGGAGACTGGCGCCAAGCCCTCGCCGGGGGCCACATTGACACGACTTGCAATTGTTCAGGAGCAAGAGAACTATGTCATGCTGACTAAACCATATATCATATATGTAATATGTATATGAATGCTTCGAGGTGGCTGAGCAATTCGGTGGTGGCCTTAGAGCTGAGCAGTTCGGTCGGAGGTGTCAGATCCTAGAGCGAATTGAAGCAGGTGCTTTTCTTCCAAAACGTGGGACTGACGAGGTTTTTGTTGCCGCAACTCAGTATGCAGGGAACCTGCAACAAGTTGTTTCTATTTCGAGCAGTAACCGGATTGGTCGCTAAATCCGCTCCTCCTCGTGTGTTAGGCAGGTGCTCAAAAAGGCATGAGCATGGTTGCCCAGCACACAGGAGCGCTTCCGACAGCACCCTTTGCCGAGCGTTGGAATGCGTCTGGTGTCCGTTTGACTCACCCAACCTTTTGGGGCTCCGAAGACCCTTTTTCTATGCACGATCTCACATGGACAACAGGGAACTCACAGAAGGTGTTTCATCTCTTTGGTGCTGGAGCCACTTGCAGACGTGGGAGAACTGGGTAAGCTTGGATACAACGACCCGAAGTTCTGTGAGACACGTTGTACCGCAAACGTTCATGGCTCGGCCAGTCCAGAGTGACACCCGCCTGCACGGCACTGTCCAAGCGAGAGGCGACGTGCTCCATGAGACTTGCCATTGTGGCCCTGAAGCCTCGATGTCGGACGAAGAGGACGGCTGTGGTTTTCTACTTTGGTGACATTGGAGATGAGTGGTTTGATGTGTATAGACCCCCAAATAGATAGAAAAGCAACATCTTGTTCAATATGTATTGGACACCGTTTCTATCTATTTGGGGACCTCTATTTATATATATACACATACACATGAGCATCCGACAAACCGTTCCGTACATGTACTTTAGTCATGAGCCGCCCTACATAAACTTTCGGCATTGGGGACACGAAGAAGTTTTGTCCGCCACTCATATATGTGTATTTATATATATATATATTATAGAAACGCATACACAGTATCATACACATTTTTTTATTTGGGGTCTTTCGTTTGGACACAGATGCAAGCATTGTGAGGAAGAGGATTGGGAGCTTCATCGTAAGAAGACAGGCGCGTGGTATCTGCAACTGAGCTTCAGGAAACGGATGCTGACCATGCAAAGTATGGTTGAAAGATGGCACGAGTGGGGATGCGGGTGTATCTTGAAATTGCCTTTCCAAGTACATCCCACCAGTGACTCTTCATTGGGTTTGCAGCCGGCCTTCAAGCACCCTGGTCAAATTAAGATCGCCAAGGGCCGCCAAGGTGGGTCCAACTACTCGTCAGGGAGCTTAGATGATTCTTGCTACTACTACAGTAGATGGACCAAATATTCAAACCCCTGTATCAATAACTGTCGTCAACCCCTGACCCCCAAAGGTCAATGTTGAACATGACTTGATTGAATTTTGTATTTTTGTCTCCAGGGTTTCAATTTGTTTCGTCCATGTGCTGAAACACGCTTGCAAGATCTCTAGCATTCAGCCTTGGGGTAGAAGGGGTCCACGTGGTTGGAAGGGTTTGCATATTTCGTCCATCTACGGTGGCGATGCCGTCCACTGTTCCGTTCATAGCGGTCCGATCGCTGTCCGATCCCACAGGCCTCGTGGCGAAGTTGGTCACCTACGACAGCCGCGAGCGGATGCTGCGGGACTTCAAGTTGAGACCAGGCGAGGGCGTGGCGGGTGGTGTGAGAAAATGCGGGTGTGAGAAAGTGGTGGTGGAAGGCAGGAAGGCAATTGGATGTGTGTTTGGGGGAAAAGGATTTAAAGCAAGAGAGGAAGCCCACTGCAATGAACTTGCTTGGATTCACTTGTTTGAAGGAGACTTTCGCTGAAAACACTGGCAGGTTGGCGATGAAAACATCATCCTACCTTGGCTTCAATCAATCCCAATCGCTTCCAACACCGTTGTTCCGGAGCACACACCTCCAAACAATGCAGACCTTGGAAAATGGGCCTTGCGCGTGGCGATCTCTGAAAAAGTCTTCAGATGACCACATACCACGCCCCCCAAGCAACTGCGACGTACCTTTTCTCAACAGCAACGTGTGTTTAGTTACTAGTAGGAACAGAGTTTCTTTGCTTTTTGCTTCTAGAGTTCATATATATATATATGTTCATCAAACCACATCGAACCTCAACCTCCCAGAATGCCCCGAACGGTGAACCTTCCACCGCTTGTTCCCCGTTTGGCGCGGCCCGGAACCGTGGAGGCGTGCGGCGCTCGGGCATCGTGGTCTGGGGCGTCGCACCCCGAGGTCCCTGCGCTCGGGCGCCTCGGCGCCAGCGGAACGACTTGCTGGGGGAGTCGCTCCTGTGGCGCTTCTAGCTACGTTCGTAGCTAAGAATGCTCCGTTCGTAGCGATGCCAGGAGCCCGGAGCCCTTAGTAGCGTCCTTGCTCCTGGTAGTATGGCCAGGAGCCCCTAGTAGCTTCTAGCTACTAGTAGCTAAGAATGCTCCGTTCGTAGCGATGCCAGAAGAGCCCCTAGTTAGTAGCGTCCGAACGCTCCGTTCGTAGTAAGGCCGGGAGCCCCGAATGTAGCTTCTTGTTCCTTTGGGTGATGTTTCAGTGGAAATCCGGGGGAGGAGAAGGGAATATATGGAGGGTTTTGATGGAGATCGCTCCGAACGTCGGAGAGAGGCTACGACACGAGAGAAGGAAGGGACATGGAGCTCTTTGAACCATGGTGGTCAGATCCGTCGGCATTTGGTCTAAACACCGTGAAACACCTTACCAACCATCCCTAGGATTTGCGACAGCGTTCAATGTCCACCAGCTCTTGCCATGTGTTGGAGTCATACAAAGGGATTCTCCAGGTGTTCGAATGCAGGTGTCTGTGGATTGAACTGTCGGAGGAGCACCATGTATTTTGGAAGATGGGTGGAGATGCAACCTAACACCCAAGAATCAATCAAAGCTTTTTTTGGCCTGGGACACACATGCAAGTATGCTTCAGTATGCATTCCGGAACATGGGTACTGAATGTGTTCCATATCGAACTCAATATTGTTCAATGCCATTGGAATATCAAGCTGGGTGACTAAATCATCATCCGATTCCACTGCGATTGACACCCTTGACACCGTCGCCAAGGCAGGAGTCCAACCTGGAGACCGTTTGGTGTCCATCAACGGGCGCCAGGCGAGGGGTTTTCAACAGGAATCGTTGTGCGAGGGTTCGATGCGATGGTTCGCTGGTTGGGATGCTTCCCAACGCATTTTGGAATCACAGGTCGAAAGACGCCGTGGTTCTTACTTTTATATACAATTTGGTGCCTTGGCTTTTGAGAGGGTGTCTCGGACAAGGAGACCGGGAGGAAACCGAAAAAACACGGTTCCGCCTCCACGGAGCCGAAAAGCAGCTTCCGACACGCAGCTCCGAACACAGGGCAGGGGCAGCTCTTGGATGCCAGGACCCCCCGTAGTACCGTCCGATCGCTCCGTTCGTAGCTTTGGCCGTTGTCCCGAACTCGTGGACTGACCGCCTGCTTTGGCCGCCTGGCGCGGAGCCGACTGGCAGGACATCATTCATCTCATGGCTTCCGAGTGCAAGGCCGTTGGGTGCAAAACGCGTGGAGTTGGAGCGAAGGAGTTGGTCCCACAACCGACGAGTCTGGTCGAACAGTATCATCCAATCAAACAGTTGATGAGTTGAAAGAATTCGGATACTTTAGGATGGGACTTCAGCTTCTATAACAAATATAAAATTCAAGAATATTCTGAGACTTCAACTTCTGTGGACTTTGACCTTTCCAAGTTCTTTGCCAATCTGGGATTGTGGTGGTGAGGCAAGTCAGGCACCTCATGCCTCTTACCCGAGTTGCTCTATCGGATAGACCGATGCTCTTCCGACGACTGACCTTCCATCGGTCCTCTTCCGCATCTACCTCTGACCTCTGGTCCTCTCCGAACGGGTCCCGTCGTCCGGACCGGGTTGGGTGTTGCAGCTGGGCGGTTCCGAGCCGCAGGGCTCCTGCGCCACCGAGGTGCCGGCCACCTTGATCTTCATGGGCACGGCTGGACGGATCACCACCGAGGTTTGGGTCAGAAGAGATGGAGTTGAGCTTTTTCCTGAGAGGCGAACGTCGAGAATGTGAGAGCGGTTGGTTGGAAGAGCGTGGTAGTCTAATAGACTGATGACTGATGTTTGTTTTTGTGTTTTCCAAAGGATGAAGGAGGCATCTACTTTCTTTTGCGAGGAGGGGGAGGGTTTGCAGACTTGCAGTAAGTTGTTCATGGTAGCCAGAACTATCGGGTTTGACCGCCAAAGTTACGAAGCGCTCAACATGCATTCTTAATGCAAGTATTTAGGAAATGACAGTAGTTTGGTTCAGCCACCACCTGGCTTTGAAGCAACTTCTGGTTCCATTGTCCTGAGGGGAGGATTGACATTGACCCTCTATATCGTCTCATCTCCTTGCGAGAGTCTTCACGTCAAGACCCTGAAATCAATTGTTTCAAGGAACATCCATGGTGGTTTTCCTGTGTCTACCTGTCAGTGTTGAAGACACCAATCCGATGTGGTGGCTGTTTTGTTTGCTAGAGTGACTGTCAGTATACAGATGGGTGGCTAGGCGGGGTTTTGTTTGACCATCCTCCATGGTGAGGACACCAAGTCTCAGCTGCACAGCTGAAGCCGCAAGGTACGCTTGATCTCTTCGGAGGCGGCGTTGTCAGACAAAGGCTTCACCTTGCTCAGTGACAAGGCCAGTGGTGTTCTGAACAGGGCCCGCCCTTGGGAGGTTTGAAGATCCAAGTTTGAGACGGAACTAGACAACTGCGGCAACTAGGCCCTTGAGACGGTTCGTTCAGATTGAAGCGCTCCAGCTTTGGTGTTTTTGTGGCAAAGAGCTTGCTCTTGGGCCGGGCCTTTTCGTCACCTGGACCTAGCTTGTTGCAACATGCTGGCTGGCCTGTTGAGGTCTTGGGTGGCGCACGGACCAAGTACCTCTACCAAGAGGAGAAGCTTTGCCCCGTGCTGCATCGACATGGCGAGCAGCAAGTATCGCAACCTCGCCTGGGTTCGATAGAGGTTTGACACCTACTGCTGAGTCGTGATGCCTTCTACTTCAAAGATGTACTGTATCAAACTATCCAAGGCAAAATCTATTCTCGCAGTTCCCTTGTCAAAAAGCCTATTTCGAGCAGTGAATGTAGAACGAATATAGTACATATACTTTCCTAGTCTTTGAAGAGCATCCACTCCCCGGTTGTACCGGAACTGTTCTTCCAGAGGGCCCTTCTTGGTTTGTTTTTTGACAATTTCTTCTGGAACATCAGCTGGACTTCCACATTTCGTGTGTGCAGGTTGCGTTGTAGTCTTCCATTTCGATCTCCAGTTCTTCGACGACGGGCTGTATGTCATCCATCTGATTGTAGTGAAGTGGTACCCATGTTTGAGCTACACATTGGCCACTTGTGTAGCATTTCAGCCTTTTCATCTGAAAGATCCAGAAAAATGGGCAGACTCTCAGACCTTTTCTGGATGGATGTTGGTAGGAAGCTCCAGGAGGCTTGAAAACCCCTAGTTCCGCCCGCGTTGGCTCAAGTTTGAGAAGTCGCGCCCCCCTGATCACTCCCTGCTGTTCCCCACACTGTCAACCATGGCCGAGGCCGGTTCTTGATCGCACTGTGTTCGAAACGCCCTCACTTCTTCATCAGCAACTTTGCTTATTTCAACTACCTGCAGATTGATGGTAAAAACCCTTCTTACAGACACATCTTCTTACAGTGATTCTGCCAGCAGGCTGCAAAGACGTATTCCAGAGCTTGAATACAGGTTCCAGAACCTGCAAGACAGGATGGCGACCAGATTGGACGCAGAAAACCTGGGCCTCAACGCTCAACCCATGAATATATCTATATCAGCCTTGAACATGCAGATACTTGTGTGAAATCCTGTCCAATGGTTTCTGGGTTTCTCTAAGGTTGCACATCTTCTCATATTTCTGGCACTTGCCGACATCAGGTCCCAGAAAAGCCAAGGTCAACCTATTCACCCGCCCGAGTTTCGGTCCCAAAACGTCCGAGTTGCCAGGCTGCCGAGTTGCCAGGGATCTCAGTGGCAAAAAGTCCTGCGGGTGACTTTTCATTGGAAGAAAAACGAGAAGTAGCAAACTGCAAATGGTTAAATTATCAAAAGAACACATGGAAGAACACATGTCAATGGTTAAAGAACAACTCCATTTTGTTTATTCTTTCCAAACACAAAAGAACACATGGACCCTGCTGCCACAGCAACTTGCCACCCTTAGGTCCAAGAGTGCCAAACGCCGTGCTGCCAAGAAGGCCATCAGCAATGTTCTCAACGGTAGAAGCGGCACGGTGAGCTCTGGGGTCTGTGCATGCAAATCTCCGATCACCAATGAACACAGGGTAGGAACACAGGGTGCCAGGGTGCTCAGCAACAGTAGTTGGGGAGGTTGAAACATGACATTCGGGGAAGACCAACATGGCCGAAAAATACCAGGTCCAAAGGTAGTCACTACCTGTACCAGGTAGTGACATGTCCACATACATGATTCTGTTATAAAGTCTTTGGCTGCCTTTAGCAACAAATACAGCGGCTCCGAGACGGTTGCCTTCAGGCCCGAGACGCTGCCCACCCGGCAGGCGTGACAGAGCGCAACGTGTTTCTGGCGGGTCAGACCGCAGCGCCAGGTGAAGTCGATATTTACCTACTAGTGATGGCCTCCAACCTCTAGCGATGGCCTTCAACCGTTGGGGTCATGGTCCTCTTGGGATCGCAGTGTTGCCTTTGGCTTTTGGCAGGGAAGAAGAACATGCTGCGCATGTCCCTGTTGAAGGTTGCCAACTTGACATTTTATACGTACCTAGCGTCCAGTTGTGCATTTGTTGACAATATACCCTCTTCACTGATCCAAGGCAGCGCTGGTAGTGGCTGGACAAAAGCTCCCTTTACCACCGGATTCAATTATGATCAATTATGATATTGGTGCTGAACGACGGCTTGAGATGTAGCCAATGGCTGGAGCGAAATCCAATCGCAGTCTTTATGTACTCAGTGGATCAGAGCAAACTTCTTTAGGTGACTGGGGACATCATATGATCATATATTTTCTAAACCTTCGACTTTTATCTCTTTTTGACGCACCAAAGCTCCCCAAACCCGCGGCGTTTGCTTCGGCGCACGGTCTCAGAAGCGGCTCCGACGGCGCCGGAGACCACGCCTGAGAAGCCGAAGGCGGATGGGAAGAGGAGGAGCAGCTGGGAGGGGCAGCTGGTGAAGAACGGGACCGCGCAAGAAGACAACATTCTGATGGGGTGACCAAAAGGAAGACAGAAGACTCAGAAGACACTGCTTCTTAGGGTGTTTTGAAGGGGATGGGCAACTTTCTTTATTCACTTGGAGATTTGGGAGATTTGTGGTTTCACTTGAAGAATGCAGACTTACTTGCTGGGCTTTCAAGCCGCAGAAGTGCTGTGGTGGTCTTGTGAACAATTCTGTCCAAGGACTTTGCAACTTCAGAAGAACATAATATATATACCTAGAGCCTGAGTGACCTCCAATTTGACCACCGACAACAAAAATTATGGCCTTTTCCTATCAAAACAGAGGTCAAATGGACTCCAGTTATATATATATATATATTAAATATATATATATACATATGTATAACTAGCTCAACTACTCTGTCTTTTCGCCACTGACACTCAGTCTGGTTGAATGTCATAGATCACCGATCCCCAGAACAAATCCAGGTCAGCTCCACCCCGTCCCTTGGTCACGGAGGGCCTTTTAATTTAGGATTTTTTTACGTGGCTTGTGTGGCTTTTGGCTTTGGTGGCTTTCGTGGCTTCTTTGGCTTTTGGCTTTGGTGGCTTTCGTGGCTTCTGTGGCTTTTGGCTTTTGGTGGCTTTTCGCTTTTGGTGGCTTTTGATGACTGGTTTTCGGTGGCTTTTTTGCCCCTTCGTGGCTTCGGTTGGCTTCTGTTGGCTTTTCGTGTCTTCATTCACTGATATGGTGTAAATATGCCTGGCTGTTTGCCAGCTACGACAGCTCCCAAATCTGCCTACCTATCCATCTATCTGTCTATATCTATCTATCTTTCTATTTGTCTGTCTATCCATCTATCTATCTTTCTTTCTTTCTGTCTTTCTTTCTTTCTTTCTGTCTTTCTTTCTTTCTTTCTCTTTGGCAGCTGTTCTCCTTTCTCTTTTTCCTTTTGCTTTTCCATTTGTTTGCTTTGCAGAGAAGAAACCAAACAAGGGAGCAAGCAAGCAAGCACGAGCTGCTCACCTTTGGATCTGGTGTGCTGCTGGGGGGGGGGCGCTGCGCCACGAAATCTGCACTTCATCTCCGACACCCGCGCCTGCCACGAAATCAATATTTTAAGGTGAACTCCGCGGTGCACAAATTTTTAACCAAGCAAATATGCCTCCTGTGCTAGTTCTCTTTCTCTTTGCTGTTTCTCTGCTAACTGCACCAAACTGTTGTGGTAGGTAGGAATTTCTCTGACGCCTACACTATTCCAATGTATTTTGCCAGCTACGACAGCTCCCGAATCTGCCTACCTATCCATCTATCTGTCTTTATCTATCTATCTATCTATCTTTCTTTCTTTCCTCCCTCCCTCCCTCCCTCCCTCCCTCCCTTCCTTCCTTCCTTCCTACCTATCTATCTGTCTATCTATCTATCCATCTATCTATCTGTCTGTCCATCTGTCTATCTATCTATCTATCTATCCATCCATCTATCTATCTATCTATCCATTTATCTGTCTATCTTTCTATCTGTCTATCTATCTAGCTATCTAGCACCTGCCACGAAATCTGCACTTCAAGGTCCACCATGTACTGTGCCTGCCACGAAATCGGCACTCCAAGGCCCACAAAGTCCTGCACCTGCCACGAAATGTGCACTTCAACATCCACAAAGTCCTGCACCTGCCACGAAAATTCAAGGTCCACAAAGTACTGCGCCTGCCACGAAACACGAAAAAAAATCCCAAACAACAACACAAAAAACCATACCAAATTAAATCCGAGCCCCTTGGTCACTGCAGAGACAAGGTCCCATCCCTTTCAGCATTTTCCACATGGGCGGAAATGAGGTGCATGGGATTTTGAAGGGTTCTCAACTCCGAACCAACAAGAGGCTGAGTGTACCAAGAGGCACCAGTCTTGCACCAGGTCTCTTTTAGGTCTCTCAAGCGCAGGGGGCTGGCGAAAGCCGCCGGCCGCACCAGGCGAAGGCGGCGGCGAAAGCCCCGGCGGCTGAGCCCAAGGCCGCCAAAGCGAAGGGCTGGACAACGGTGGGGAGCATGATGGTCACATGGGTCCTTGAAGGGATCTTTGAAACCGACTCAAGTGTGTTTCAAAGACTGACCCCCCAGCCATACGTGCAGAGCAAGAAGAGATACATTGCAGATACATGCTCAGTGGCTGGGGATTCCTTGCATTTTTTGGAGAGGCCTGGCTCCGTGGGTCTGTGCTACTTGAGCTCCCTAGGTCAGGGGATGATTGTAAGGGAGATGATCGTCTCTCACAAGGGTGAGCACATTGTAGAAAAGGCCCAAGGCCGACTTGAGAGAAAAAAGGCACGTTTTTGACCAACGGCTGTGTTTACCGACGCAGCCCCATGATTTCGGATGATAGGATGTTGTTGTGTTTTCAAAGACCACATTGATAGACCAGCGATCATCCATGTTTGCCCTCTTTGCCTACGCAGTGGTTTTAGCCCGGAGTTATTGCGGCACTCGACGTGCATCCATAGGAAGCAGCGCATGAGGCTTGTTAACTTTCAGGAAGAGGAGATTCGGGATTCAAGATTTTTCCTCAACCCTCTTGCAGGGGGGGCTTGTTTGGACGCCTTTTAAATGGGGTATCTGCGATATCTTTTGTATTGTTTCTAGTGGGATCGGACTCTCGAAAGCACGGACTTTAAAATTGTGTGGGCCTTCCTGCTGTTTGGGTGAACGCACTAGAGCAAAGCAGCTG